TCCTTTTCTCGAGAATCCAGCTTTTGAGACAGCTTCCAGGCACCTCCATTTTCAGGATCCTTTTATAATTTTTTCCCCTCAACTCCGTGGTTTACTCACTGTCTTCCAGAGTCAAAGTAATTCTCAGATAGAGGTAAGATCCAAGCTTTGGGCTAAAATTCCATAGCTGGCCTTGTCCTTCAGGTCCACAAGTAGAAACGCAGGTTCCTAGGTCCCTTTTATCAACACTATGTATTAACTAAAACACTCAGGCAGCCAAAACAAAATCCCATGGGCAGGGGGTCTAAAACAACAGAAATCTGATTGCTTTCTGTACAGTTCTGGAAACCAAAACTGAAGATCAAGGTGACACTGGGTTGGTTTCCGGTGGAACATCTCTTCCTGGAGAGGAGAAAGCTTCCTTCTCACTGTGTTGTTGCTGGTCTTCAGGCTTTGAATCCTATTTCCCATTTCCTAATCGCTGTTGAACCAGAAAACCTGTGCTTCTATGCATTATAGCAGGAGAGGCTGAGGAGTCTAATTTCATGGCTTTCTTCGCTGGTTGTTGATGGTTGAGTTTGGACTTTGGATATTCTGTTCTGTGAATTCCATACACTGGAAGTCATGGAACTGTTGGCCACCCAGGCAGGTGGATGATACCATTCCGACACTATCAGTGCCACGTGAAGATTGATTGTCATCCTCACCAGAGACCAACTTGTTGGAAAGCTCTTCTTGAGCCTGCTGGGCTCTGGGAGCAGGCAGCTTTGGGAGAGATCAGGGATGTGTTTGGGGCTTTTTCTGATTTCATCCATGGTGCATACTTCACAGTGGTTCTGACTGGCACAGTGGGCCATAGTTATAGGTCGTGGTCATGACTGGTGTCTAGATGTCCTTCCATCGCCCCACGCACTCCTAGGTGGGGCTTTCCATAGATGGCTGGATCTGAGGTGTGCGAACTAGGATGAAGAGTGTGTGGTGGCTAAACGAGCCCACTCATTGGCTTAGCACAGCCTTGGGGGTGGATAATGTAGAACCTGGATAGAATCTGAGGGGACAAGAAGGAAGGTGGGCTTGCTCCTTTCCGCCTTCTGCCTGCCTGCCATGGACTAGTTCTCATCTGTATGGCCCGTCTGCCATGGCACCCTGCCTTGGAGCCAGCCGACTACGAGCTGAAACCTCTATAAACCACTTGTTAAAGACCTTTCTCCCTTTAAATTGTGGATGCTGGCATTTTGTCCCAGCAATGAAGAAAGTAACTAAGACAGCAGGTGGGTATCCACAGATTGGACCTGGATTCTTGCCTGGCTGGTCCAGGGCCAGAGGCTGGCTTCTTTTGCAAATCCACCCCCTGCTGGGTGGCCCTCCCTGGGTCCTTACTACTGTCTCACCAGCTGTGAGACAGCTTTTTTCTTTTTCTCCTGTTGATGTCACTTCTCAGTTCTTGTACCTTGTCCCAATTCCCACCATGTGGTATAGGTCTTTATTTCCTCCTCTTAGGATAATTGCAACAGCTCTTTCCTGCTGGCCTCCTACACTCTTAAGTTGTGTTAAAGGGGATACGTGGTTTGTGTGTGTGTGTGTGTGTGTGTGTGTGTGTGTATGTGTGTGTGTTTGTATGGTTATTTGCAAAGGACTAAAAGGAGAGAAGCTAGGTGTGTGGTGCAGGTTTGTAAACCAGCACTCTGGGAGGCAGAGGCAGGAGGAGCCCAGTCTGAGCAACTTGTGATTTGGTGCAATCTCATCTCAAAAATAAAAGTTTTGGGGATGTAGTTCAGTATGAAGCTGTAGGCTCAGTCCCTAGTAGTGAAAACCAGTCAACCAACCAACCAACAAACCAACCAACCAACCAGTCAACCAACCAACCAGCCAACCAACCAACCAACCAACAGCCAACACGAAGCAACAATAAAATAAAACAAGAAGGAGTAAAAGGAGGTTTCCAGGGTCCCCATGTGGACAGTTTTTGTTCTCTTTTAGCCACTTGTCTCCTCGATGAAAAGGAGACAGGGAAGTGGGGAGGCAGAGATGCAGGGACAGAGCCCGACAAGGAGACCCTAACCCCATGATCGAAACGGGCTGTCTCAGTCCTGGCCCAGCCTCCCTCAGGAGCCATTTTTCATGGATTGTTTGGCAGAACCTCTCCACCCAATGTGGAAAAATGCAGATCATGCTGTGTATTAAATGGGGATGAAATCTAGTATGGACAGCTTGAGGAGTGGGTGACAGCAGAGTCCACGGGCTGGGCAGGAGTTGGCGGTGATGCCACTCATGGTGACACGTGGTGTTCATTCGCTGAGGCAGCCTGGGCAGCAGAGTTCTCCATGCCCGTCCTCTCTCTTCTCCCCTTTGACCCCTGGGGCTCCACCTCTACACCCAAAATTCAGGACCCTAAATTCTGGCAGCTCCGCCAACCTCTATGGCAATGTGTGTGCATAGAGCAAATATCTGTTTCTTCTACCTCTTGTCATCTTGTCGCATAACAGGATGCAATTACATTCTAGTATTTAAGTATTGTTAAGTTTACTTCAGGATATTTTTTTAAAAAAGGATATTTAAGCTCTAGGATATCAAGGAGAGAAATGAACGTCCCTCGCAGAGGCTCCCCGTCCTCCTCTGTGGAAGGGGCTCGTGTTTTTATGGTTGCTGATCCGAGAGTTGTACGGTCTTAGGTAGGACCATGAGCCTGTGATCATTTCTGCTGGGAGACGAGCCTGCCGGAAGGGATGGATAGGGTACCACGATGACAGGATTAGCAAGGGCTAATCTTAGGGGTTGGGTGTGCCATATTGTCTTAGTTGCTTGTTTCACTGCTGGGAAAAAAAAAATACTTATTTTCCAAGTTAAAAGAGGAGAGGTTTGCTTTGGCTCATGTTTCAGTCCAAGGTTGGCTAGCTGCAAGGTGGGAAGGCATGGCAGAGGGAACGGTGAAGGGGAAAAGTGTCCTGGAAGCAGGGAGAACAGACAGAGAGCAGGGAGGGGGAGAAGCCCTGCTGGGTCACGCCCCAGGCGCCCCACCTCTTCCTGTCGGACCCAGCCTCCTAACAGCATCAGATGTGAACTCCCATAATTCCATCTTCTTCCAAAAGCCTTGCCCATGAACACATGAGACTTCTGAGGGGACACCTGGATGTAATCCCTGACTGCTTCCCAGGTATTTGCTAAAACATTATCCTGGCAGTTTCCATGAGGTATTGTTAGTGAGATTAACATAGAAGGAGCTGGGCCGGCCAAATAGCTCAGTGGATTAAAACACCTGCAAGCAGGAACAGGGGTCGGGGGTTCAATCCCCAGGCATGCTGTGCCAGCCGCATCCCCAGGGTGCACTGAGATGGTGATTGAGACTGGGCGAGGTAGTGTGTATCTGTAATTCCTGTAGCTCTTGGGAGGCTGTAAGCAGGTGGATCACTACAAGTCTCATCTAGTAGTGAGACCCTGAACACCTTGTAGACCCTTCCCTAAAAAAAAAAAAAAACCCAAAACCCAAAAAACATGAAAGGAGGAAGATGGACAGATGGCCTTCCCATAGGGCCTGGGCTTCATCCAGTCAGTCAGAGACCGGAATAGATTGAGCCGGTGGGCCCACCCCGGCGTGGCAGAGGATTCCTGGTGTCTGATGTCTTTATGCTGGGACAGAGCTTTTGCTTTATCTTTAGACTTGAGCGGAAGCATCAGCTCTCTGCGTCCTCAACCGCTGCCTCCCAGAAGCCGAGCTGCCAGCTCTCTCTTGTCTAACTCTGCGGTCCCTGCCGGCCTCCAGACCTCCCTGACTGCGTGAGCCAGTTTCTTAGAGTCAGTCATTTACCAGGGCCTTGTGTTTCTCAAGAACCCCATCGCATGGGTCTGTGCAAGTGAGGAAGGGGACACAATGCATGTCCCTGGCGCTCCTCTAGCACTGCCGTGGAAGACAGGCATGTCTTGTGGTCGGTGCTTTTCCTTACACAGAATGTTTAAAAACCATCCCAGTTATCTGTGGTATTCACATGTTTCCAGCAGAGAGAACCGTGTCGTAGTGCTCAGATGGTCCTTTGTGGAGGCAGAGGCGGAGAAGAGACATCCTTTGGGCTCTCCCAACCCATGGGTGCCCTGAGTGTGGCAGACTGGTGCTGCTAGTTACGAGTTAAGTAACATGTTGTAAAGGAACATTGACATCCGGTTAAGACATAAATTCAGGGCTATGAGGGTCGAGTCCGGTGCTGAGGCCTGTCACCCCATTTCCTGTTACAAAAGCTGTATCTTGAGTGTTTGCAGCTTGCGAAATGGAAGTCCGCGAGGCAGGGTTGCCAGACACTCTTCTGACCACCGTGTGGGCTACGGGAACTCGGGAGGGCCTGGTGTACAGGCTTGTGGAGCACCCAGTGCCCAGCTGAGTCCCCTGTGCCCCATACGTGCGCGAGTGTGCAGAGGCGCACGGGGCTACGGGCGACCCCCGGGCTTGCCCAGCCCCGCCCCGCTGGCAACTGTGTCTCTCACAGCCTCGTGGGGGAGCACGTGGGAGCACGTGTACATTATGCTGTGGCAGCTAACTAACTCCGAGCCACGACCCAGAGCGCCCATCTTTGCTTGGCAGCCTCTGCCATGTGAGCGCCCACGTGGAACAATTTTGGTGAATTTGAGGGACAGCTCATGTTTCAGGAAAGGAGAGGAATAATTCCGTCTGATGTACATCAAGAGAGGGAGGCCATTGTGGGAAACACGGGCCTTGTACCTCATGGGGTGCTTCTGTTATGTGAGGTGTGGGCAAGCGTGGGCCCCTCTGTGCTTGTGTCCAGGAAGGGCTCGGAGGCAGCCCATGGGAAGCCAGCCCTCCCCGTTCCTGGGCAGCTCCCACAAAGCTAAGATTCCTCAGCGGCTGCAGCACCCGAGGACATTTGATGCCTGCTTTCCTCTGTCCAAATAATCTCTCTTGCATTGTATGCTCTAGTGGGATTGACTAATAGGTGACATGCCTCTGCCTGTGCCAGCAGATATAAGTGGCGCTCACAGGCGGGCTTCCTGGCCATGCGCAGGGAGCAGCAGGCATGGGACGTGCTGGGCTCCAGTTCCGAGCCCTCCTCTGGAAGAACGGACTTTGCCGACTGCGGCACCCGGTGAGTGCTGCCGTGGGCTCCCCAAGGGCCCGGTGGTCTGCAGAGAGATGGGTCCCCGTGTGCGTGGCTATAGCTGCCCCACGGCAGGCAGGCGCTGTGTCCTCACAGCAGGGCCTCGGGAAGGCTGGCGTGTGCATCAGAACCTACCCCAAGGGCCAGAGCAGTGTTTCTCACAGAAGAGCCCAATAGAGCAAGTGCAGCTTGGACCTTTGGTAGGGTTCTGGGTGTCAGTTGTGAAACCTGAATTGCGGATGGTCTCCTATAAGGGACAAGACACCGAATGCAGTTGATGAGTGAACAGAAGGCCCGAGGGCTGACCTCAAAGTGCACCGTCTTCTTGGTGTTATCCTTTGATGTTGCAGTTTTAGAGTTAATTGGTGTTTTGGTAATTTTATTTCAACGACATCAACATAAGTTTCTTAAGTAGCTTGGAATTGCCAGACCTAACTTACGGGAATGCTTATGAAAATCCTGTAAGTTCTACTCCGCTGCCTCAGTGGAGTAGAACTCAGTTATTTATTATTATGATTGGTGGTTCTTTATTCCTTTTTTTGGTATCAGGGATCAAACTTAGGACCTTGTGCTTGCTAGGCAGGCGCTTATACCACTGAGCTATGTCCCAGCCCAGTTGCTCTTTACTCCTGATGCTACCAGACAAACATTAAGCCTGCCGACTTCGTTTTTAGCAGTTAGATCTATACAGATTTCTATTATTTCTGCCCATACATAAGAGATTTATTTTCTGCTGACAAATTCTCTCATTTTGAGACAGTCACTGATTAATGTTGAATTTCATTTTGCTGATGACTTAGCTGGAATATTTTTCCTTAAAGGAAAGAGAATGGGAAAAGAGATTGTTTTCTTTCCTTTGTGCTATCAGAATCAGAACAATTTTCTTTTTTTTTTTAATTTTATTTATTTATGTGTGTGTGTGTGTGTGTGTGTGTGTGTGTGTGTGTGTGGCCAGTTCAGCCCACCAGGGTGCTGGCTGGCATGTGGTGCTGGGGGATTGAACCATGGTCCCTGTGCTTTGCTAAGCTTGTTCGAAGTAGGTGCTTTAGACCACTGAGCCATCTCACCAGCCCCCAAGAATCAGAATAATTTTCATAGGAAAACTGATTGTACCAAAGTTTTTAGATCAGGAGTGAGCACGCAGGCTTCATGCTCTGAGGGCTGTTCGTCTGGCTAGGTGGGTTTCCATTCGCGATGGTGTGCTCTGTTCATGTCTAAGGTTGTCCTGGGGACCTACGCCACTTTTCCCAGCAGGGAGTGTTCCGAGGGTCGCTGGCTTCCTATGCACTGTTCTTTCTCTTCTATGTTTGCAAACCCGGAGCTCCAGGAGTGGAGACATGTCTGACGCAATCCTCCTCCTTACTGGATACCCAAGAGGTTTAAGATTGCACAGTTACCACAGCTGCAAGGGAGATGGCCTCACTGGCATAATTTTGTCCGCTGATTTATATGATAAATGTTTATTTTTAAAGCTGACTTCCTAACTCCATCCTGTGTTAGCTTTCTGTTTGGCGTTTTGTTTGCCCAGCACGCCGCAGGTGTGCCAGTTTGTTCATACCCTCTGACTCCCGCCTAAGCCCTGGGGGAGTCAGGCACTGTTCCTTGTGTGCCCGGCACTCAGACTGGCATGCAGTGGATGCTTAATAAATGTTGCTGAAGAGCAAAGGAGGAGGAATCAAGTATACATTTATCATGTTTGTTGCCTCTCCACTGGGTGAACAAGACAAATGTGTGTCCTGTCCTATAAAAACTGGAGTGAGTTTTGAGAAAATTGACCAAATGTACAATTAGACATTGAAAGAACCCATTTCTAGGGTTGTAGCCTGCAAATGTCCCCACACAGAGAAGAAGTGATGCGGGCACAAGGCCATTCATTGCGTCACTTCTTACGCTACCAACATGGTAGAAACAGCGCAAGTGGTTTGTGTGTAGAGCTCGGAGCCTCCTGCTTGCGCTCACATCCCAGTTTGGCACAGAGGAGGTAGCTCACTCAGGCAAAGTTTTTGGGGGGCTCTGCCTCCTTAGGAGATGGGATTATTGGCCTGGTTCGAGTGGCTTGTGCATGCAGTATGCTGCAGTGGGGGCTGGCGTGAGTCAGAGCTGTCTTGTGAGGCTGCAGTGCTGGGCGGGTAGAAGGGACCTTGAGCATCGAGGACGCAGAGCAGGCACTGCGAGGAAGCAGGATGCAGCTCAGGGCTTCCGGCTTGCGTGCCTCAGGCAGCACAGACGCCCAGTGGGCTTCGGATGCGAAGACGTTTCTACCTCCTGATCAGTTGCAGCGGAAATATTGGGGCCTGGCCGCCCGGTGAACATCTGTAACCTGCCCTGCTTTTCCTAGCTCTCCTCTGCGCCCCCGTGAGGAACTATGAATTCTACGCTCTTTCCCTTATGGAAATGGGCAGGAACCAAGCAACCAACCCAAGGGCGTGAAGGGCCTCAAATAAATATTTCTTTCATGAGCAGGAGTCATTATTTGCAAGATGAAGGAAGCTTGTCTGCTTTACATTTAGTTCAAGCAAACCCTCATTTTATTATTTTATGATCATAGTTCCTTTAAAAAACATCTTATTATGAAAATTTCACAGAGGGTTAAAATTCCACTGTTTTTGCAAAAGCTTCATGCATATAAAAGCATGTCTTAGTACTTATTTTAATCCCACTGGTTTGTTTCCTCTTGATTTCTATTTGTTGCATAAACAGCACCAGGGAAGCTTTTAAAAGAAGCATCTAAAGTTCCATTGTGCGAATTCTTTTGCTTTTTTGTGGTCTTTTCTTGTCATTAGGCAGAGAGCATGCAATCATTTTCCATAACTGAAATCATAGTGCTTTTCTTCACTTAACATAGAAGTTCAACACTTTTTTTTTTTTTTTTTTTTGGTGGAACCGGGGATTGAACTCAGGCCCTTGCACTTGCCAGGGAAGCATTTATTCCACTGAGCCATCTCCCCGGCCCACCTCAACACTTTTTTTTAAAAAGGGGAACATCATTTATTTGAGGCACTAACGCAGCAGCAGAGCACCTGCCCTGTGAGGGTTGTGGGTCTGACAGGGGCTCAGCTGAATCTGGGGTGGGGGCCTGGAGCTGGAGCCATTAATAACACCCTGAAGTTAGTGCCCTGTGTGTGTGCAGAAATACCAGGGTGGGGGGCTTTCTTGGGTGTCCCCACAGCACCTGATCCTGTCCTGCCCTTCCCATCATGTTCCCCCGCAACAGCCTGCCCAAAGGACCTGGGGCTTAGGTGTTCTGCATGTGTCTACAGGGCTGAGCTCCATCCCTATGGCCCTAGGACTTCAGGGGACATGGCTGATCCCAGAAATGAGGTGGCTGGAATTGGGGCAGGGGTGGGCTGGGCCAAGGCGGTGGAACAGGCACGAGGAGGCGTGGGGTGCTCCAGTAGCCTCCCGGTATCTGGAGGGGGGCTGGATTTCGTTCCTCATCTGGGTGAGCATGGAGCACCAGGTATAGGAGGTCAGGGCCAGCCACAGCAAGGCTGACAGCAGGCTGAGCAGGAGCCGGAGGCTCGGCAGTGGGGCGCCGGCCTGAGGCCTGCTTCCAGCAGCGCTGATGTTACGCAGGGAGTTCGAGCAGCATGTGGAGCCCACTTTTAGCCTTTTTTTTTTTTTTTTCAGAACTGGGGATTGAACTCAGGCCCTTGTGCTTGCCAGGCAAGTGGAGCCCACTTTTAAAATGCCCATGTTAACACTTGGGCTAGGGGCCGGGGCGAAGGCTCAGTAGAATAAGCACTTCCCTGGCAAGAGCAAGGGTCTGAGTTCAATCCCCCGTTCTGCCAACACCCCCGCCAAAAAAAACCCCAAACATGCAAGAAAAAAAAAAACAAAAAAACCCAAAACAACAACAACAAAAAGCAATAAACACTTGGGCCGAGGCAGGTAGGGGAGAAGCCCTTTTTCATGCTGTGGCGTGAGGGCTGACGCATGCTGTGGACAGCACTGTTCCTGAAATCACGCAGCAGGGACCTTTCTTGGGGTCACTGGGCTCTGCCACGATGCGCTGCCTCACAGGAGAACCAAAGCCCTGGGCTCCAGACCTGGGCCTGGAACCACTGAATCTGCGAGCTGAAATACTTTTTCTTTGTAAGTTGATTATTTGGGGTATTTTTTTTTTTTTAATTTGGGGTATTTTTAAAAATAATGAAAGAGCTGACTCTGCTGATCACTGTCCTAAAAACCCACGGTTCACTCCCAGTGATGGCCTGGGTGGGGCTGGTGCCGTGCCAAAGCTGTTCCGGAAATGTCCTCCTGCCATGCAGGCTGCACCACAGACCCCAGCAACGGGCAGCCCAGGTTTCTCCCACACATACAGCTGTGCCCTTCTATGTCTAAAGGCCATAGCGCCACAAGGCCTACGTCCTCCTAGAAATAGATAAGTCATGGCAGCCTGCTCAGCTGCTCCCTCTGGTCGCTGATAGCCATTTCTCCATGCAACCCAAGGCGAAGTTTGAATCCAGCTCTCCCACTGGAGGGAGCGCTGTCAGCTCACCCGTCAGTCTGAGCCTCGCTGTGTTACTGCTTCCCAGAAACCTACTTTGGGGTTTTGTCCTTACAAAAGGACTCTTGGGGCTGGGGATATAGCTCAGTGGAACAGCACCTGCCTGAAAGAAAAAGAAAAGAAAAAAGTAATCTTGGACTTCACCAGTTTTCTTCAATAATTCAAGGAACAGATTTTATTTTATTTTTTTAAGAACCGGGGATTGAACTCAGGCCCTTGCGTTTTCCAGGCAAGCACTTATTCTACTGAGCTATCTCCCTGGCTCCTCAAGGAACAGATTTTAAAAAATCTTTTGTTTATTTATCTGGCACAGGGTCTTGCTTAGCAGCTTGGATTCGTAGTGATCCTCCAGGCTCAGCCTCCCCAGCACTGGGATTACAAGTGTGCTCCACGATGCTCAGTTCTGGGGTCAGGACAGCATGCCTGGGTTTCCAGGGCCGGCACAGCATGCTGTACCAGGTGTCAAACCCGGGTCCTC